AATAGAATATCTAACCATTTCTTGATGTTATAGAATGGTAGCAAATTCTTCTCAATTATTTTAAGACCTTGAGTGTTGGTCCGGCCGGGGCTCGAACCCTCGACCTTCCGCACTATACTCCAGCGCTCTATCCATTGAGCTAACCGGGAGGCGGTTTCAGAACTTTCAGAAGAGTCGGACTCGAAGGAATCATGAGAATCACTGGACATCTTTGCCTTTCAATGCTTTATCTATCTACTACGAAGTACTGCAGAATCCTCTTAGCGACAACAGACCTTCGCGCCGAAGGCACACAATGCGACGTCACGAATAACTTCGACGGCGATAATCATGAAACCATGCGCTCTAAAGTTCCTTCTACGCATGCGCCCAGACTTCACGCATGCGTTGTAGTGGAACTGCGTTTTGTGACTGAACGCAAAAAAGAAAAAAGCCAAGCCGAATTTATACCTTGGGCGTTTCCTTCGGAAAGCCCGAGTAATTAGGCTGCACTGGGATATGGGTTTATCCACCGAGGCTGGAATATGTCGGAAATTTTAGAGAACCTGCCCCTTCGTATGGCGGCAGAAGCAGATGGGTGACAAAATATAACTTACCCTCCCCTGGAAAGGACTCCAGCTGGTTACTCCTTATTCGGTATCCTCCTTATTAGGTAACAGGTGACTCGATGCATGCACTCCCTCCGATATCGTTCGTCGCTCGCCTTCTCCATACTTTTGCAAAGATCTGAAATCTGGCAAACGCGAAAGAAACTACAACGGCGCTAATGGCGCCTGAGGGTAAGTCATTTAACGGCATATAAAGGGGTTAACGGAGATAACTTGCCTGGGTATCACAAAGACGTACCTTTTAAAGTGCGCGATGTCTCTCTCGCTCCCTCAACTCGTTTCTTGTTTACCCATCCTCATGGAGGTGATGGTGTGAAAATCAAAACAAAGAAGCTATGTTTATTGGATATTTAGCAAAAAAATTTACGTTAAATGTAAAAGTGAAGGTACAGTTATTTTTTTCAAGCTTCTGTCTAACGTTGCAAGACTGTAAACATTGGTACTGTAAGTATTTCGATCGAAAATGCATGTCGTGTCAACGTCGTTCGATTTTTTTAGTAGCACATCATGTGAGTTGGTCTTCAGCTCTAGAATTGGTTCTTTGCCTTTTAGCATGGAACCTTGATTTGATAAGTTACATGCGACTGGAAGGATATTTTTTTTTTGGATCAACTGGTTCAAATTTCGTATCTAACTTATGACTAGGCGTGATGGAAGCCGAGCAAAATTCGGGGCTGGGAAGCTACGTACATGTATTTACGTTCAAAATAACTCATATTAACGGAATGCGAGTCTTGGAAAATAAGTAATTAGCCATTGATCCATCACAGTCCGTGATTTATTTTCTAATATGCACATTATTTTGTCGAGCTCTCAAGTTTTGTTTCGACTCAGAGTCATACACTACGTAGATGTGTGCTAATCGGAACGGTATTTTGGTTGTTTACGAGCTTGTATAGTGCACGCAGATTTCTCATTTTTTTCCAATACAAATTTCCTTATGAAACCTTCCTTTATCATTTTCTGCCAGTGAAGGTGTTTCGAAAACTTTGAAAGCCTTTCTTCGTTGTTTCTAGAGAAAATTCATCCGAATGCCCCACAAGTTAAAAACTTCCGCACTGCTAATTATTTATGAAAGAAAATCCCCTTCAGGATGTTTTTCATGTGAAGAGGTCTTTGGTTAATCATGGTTGTTGATCAATTTGTAAATTTTTAGGCGAACTAGGCAATACAAAGGTGGTAAAGCCATTAGTAAACAGGTGACTAACGTCCACACCTCTTACTGAGTTAGTTATGCCAGAAAATGTCTTAATGGTTTTGGAAAGAGTACCATATAACCCCATACATTAGTTATGCATTCCACTTCTTTGTCTTTTGCGTCAAAACTTTAAAAACAAAGTCTGCTAGGCGGAATGCATAATTAATGTATGGGGTTATAATTATGGTACTCTTGCCATGCTTTTTAATGAATTGCCCAAATGTCTGTAAATCAACATAGCACCTTAAATATATTCTTAGGTCATTGAAGTTTTGATGATAACAGGTGCACTACAGGAAGAAGCTAATGAGGACAGTAATTCTTTGTGAAAGTACAACTTCATTTTTTTTTTCAGCCCCACTCTGGGATTAGACTGGGACCAGTTATCAATCAAATTCTGTGGATTTGTATTATTGGTTATAGTTTAAATTCTTATTTGTTAAAATACTTTCTTTCTAATCAGTCTAGCAATTAAAAATGTGAACTGCAAGCATGACAGAAGTGTTAAGATATTTCAATGTGTTAGATATCAACAAGGTGTCCAATAGCAAAACAAAAGTAATGTAGATATTGCTTGCAGATCTTTACCCTTGGACTTGACATATTTAAGGTCCTGGATGCCTTTTTTTTCAGGGGATTCAGGTGACCGTGGTTGCTGTGACTATATACTGACAGGCCTGTCTATCATCCTCTTTGTGTGTACTTTGCCATTATCTTTATGCTTTTGTTTAAAGGTAAGGTTGCTAGAGATAATTCTCTATGGTAAATTTACAATTGCTGGCTCAAGACCAGGATTTCTTTCAAAATATTAAAGACTGTAAATACTAGCATCAGAGGATCGCACCAGCCCTTTTTTAGAAGTGAAGTTGTAGATGATTTTAAACTAAATTGTACAGCTGCTGACCTTTTTTTATGAAATAATTTCCTATTTGTAAACCCCTTTCTGTATTGAATTTCGTAATTAGCCCCTTAGCCTTATTGTTTAAGTAAATAGTCTACTAACCTTATTGTAAATTTTACATTTAGATAAGCGCAAGATTACTTCAGTTTCAATAATATAGATCGATTTCTATAGCGCATTTCCATGTAAAATGCTCTAATGAGCTTTACAACACTGTGTGTGGGACTTTTCCAGACTGCCAGCGGCAGTTTACATTTAATAAAGAAGAAATTTTACAGCTGCCCCCTCCCCCCATTTCCAGTAAACAGGCCAGACCACATCACAGTAATCTCGTGATGTGGGTTCTTTAACGTCCCCTGCCAAAATTAACTAATTTATAAGTGCATGAGACGGGACCTTCGGCTTTGCATCCTATCCAAGAAGACGAAGCAATGTGAGTGAAGCGTGTTGCTTAAGGACACAACGTCAAGCCCCAGCCAGGACTTGAACCCGGGCCATCTGACCTAGAGTCCAGAGCACTGACCACTGGACTACTCACATTTTCAATCAGGGCGTCAAGTCTTTACTTCACCTGAAGACATGGCAGAGCCATTTAACAACCATTTTACTAGTATTGGTCAGACTCTAGCCCGTGGAATTCCTACTGTAGACATTGATCCACTTGATTATGTGAAAACCTCTGACAGGGTATTTTCTTTCGAAAGGATCAATGTCTGAGAAGTCGTAAACTTAGTCAAAGGTATCGATGGAGGGAAGGCCACTGGTCTTGACAACATTCCATGTAAATTATTAAAAATAGCCACCGATGTGGTTGCACCCTCTTTAACGTGTATATTTAATCAATCACTATTGACTGGTATCTACCCTTCCGACTAGAAGCTGGCTAACGTAACACCTATCTTTAAGAATGGATCCAAGACTGACTTAAACAACTATCAGCCTATATCCGTTATACCTGCTGTAGCCAAAATCTTTGAAAAAATTATCTATGACCAACTATACAATTATCTAAGTGTAAATGATTTATTAACCAGTTGCCAGTCTGGCTTTTGCCCCCTACACAGTACACTCACTGCCTTGTTGGAGACAAGCAACAATTGGTGTGTCAATGTTGACAAAGGTCTTCTTAATGGTGTAATTTTCATTGATTTAAAGAAAGCCTTTGACACTATAGATCACGAAATCATTCTGCAAAAACTTGTTAAATATGGGGTGGATGAAGATGCACTGAAATGATTTAAGTCTTACCCTAAAAAATTGTCTACAACGATGCAATATAAACAGTCACCTTTGCGGTGCAAGCCCTCTAAAGTATCGAGTTCCCCAAGGATCAATAATTGGTCCTCTACTTTTCTTGATCTATATGAATGACTTACCAAATTGCTTGTGCCTACGCTCTCCTAGAATGTATGCTGATGACACGAACGTCACCTTTGCTGCGTCTTACATGCATTAATCTCTGGCTCAGCAAACAAGTTAAGCTTCAATGTGGCAAAAACTGAGTTCATGGTCATTAGCTTGCATCAAAAATTGCAGTCTTCAAATGACAAGACAAAAATGTTAATGTAGAGGGTGTCAAAATAAACCAAGCAGCTCATAGCAAAGCTCAGGACTGAACATAGATGAAAACTTCTTGTGGAAGGAGCACATTCACGCAATCTCTAAATAAGTCTCTTCCAGTATCGGTGCACTGATGCGAATGAGACCTTTTGTTTCATTGCACACCACTATTAAAATATACAAAGGTCCAGTTGAACCACATTTCGATTACTGCAGTGTTATTTGGGATGGCTTGTCCAGTGAGAAACTACAAAATCGTGCTGCCAGAGTAATTGATAAATCAGTTATAATATGAACTCTAGCTGTGTTCTCAACTCTCTCGGCTGGGATAACTTATCAATAAGAAGGACGAAGAAAATTTAATGTATAAATGCGTTAATCTCGCCCCAAATTATCTTTGTAACATGTTCAGTCCGAGAACCTTGTCCTTTGATCTTCGTGGCGCAAACCAAAAATTGTACTTGCCGAAACCAAGAATTGATTTCCTGAAGCGTACCTTCAGTTATAGCGGAGCTTCTCTTTGAAACGATCTTCCTGAGGATATTCACACTGCAAAATCTCTACGCATCTTCAAGAGAAGAATTGATAAATGGCTCTCTGTATTGGGCTCCCACACGGCAAATATGTAAACCAGTTAATAGAAAATTTTACTTAGATGAATTTCTTCTTTGTTTTCTATTGCCTTATTGATATTTTTACCGTGTTTTGAATAAAGATTTAATTCATTCATTCATTCTAGTTTTTATTTTAGTTTTAAATTACGTAGTGACCTTTTTTCCTGAGTTGTAAATAGCCCGATTATTTTTATTGTGAATTTAATACTAGTAATACTAGTAATATTAGTTTTCAACTTAGGAGTGCATGTTACAGTACGAAATGTACATTGATTAAAGATGATTTATTCTCTATGGTAAAACCCCTTTTTGAATGTTTTATTTGGACAACTCCTTAGTTACAGGTTGGAATGAAATGCAAAACTGAACCAGTTTTTTTTATAATTTTGTTTTTGGACACAAAAACAGATTGTACAAGAATATGAGAGAGCAGTGATCTTCCGTCTTGGTCGTCTGCTGCCTGGAGGAGCTAAAGGCCCAGGTAGATAAGAATCAAAGACTTGAACATAGCTTGGTGAAGGCTAAATTAATTCTTTTTGGATCACCATTTTTTTTTCCAGCTCAAAGATTGTCTTTAAAGAATCTTGTATGCAAAATATTAAATGGAGACAAACCAAACATCTCCAAGTTATGACATTGGAAAGTTAGGTTTCAAATGCAGTTTTCCCAGGGAAAAAAATATGAGCATGATACTTTCTCTTTGTTCTTCCCAAAACTGTCTTGGCAACAGCTTGACCAGATAAAGCCTTTTTTTTTTTTTTCTCAGAGGGCATGGTAACAAATCCTGCAATCTGATTGGTTCTTAGCACAGTCAGGTTTTCTTATCTCTGCCCACAGGCACATTAATGCTTTTGTGAGTCCCTGAGTTTATCCATTTCTTTTTCTAGCTCGGCAGTATTTTGAAGTAAAGATGTCGCCTACGTCCTGAAGCTTATAGAGGAGTTAAAGATCGTTTTCTTTCTCCTCTCTCTCTCTCTCTCTCTCTCTCTCTCTCTTAAATCACTTTGACTGCCAGCAAAAATATTGGCTTAAAAAAGAAGTAGTACATATAGTAGCACATGTGTCAGTTGACACATGGCCTAACAATTGTTTGTAGTTAATTTTGATCCTTCACAAAAAGTAACGTCAAAAGTTAAAAGGCAAGGTATATGTTTACAACCAAATTAATCAATGTCACTTTCATTCATTTAATGTCTGAATTCTTTCCAGCAATTCTCTTGTTGTGAAACAGTGAGTGAAGTTTTGAGTTGTACCACAAATATGCTTCCAGCTTTCTTTGCTGGTCTGTTTAATTTGGACATTTGTACCATAAATTGCGCAACAGAAACCAAAGAAATTCACTGAGTAAAAGCAAAATGAAATCCTTTGTGTCTAGTTAAATTGTCTTATTTGACTTAAGTTTTTTGGTGGAAGAAAGACCAGATCTACACACACCATTACAGCAAATAGACAAGCAAACTTGCACAACTTCAAAACATACATTTAATTTACCACCAATTACTTTCCTTGCCATTTACTAACTGAACAGAGGTAAATCTTGGTGGATTGACAATAGATGGAAGTGAACACTTTCTTAAGATCCTTGCCTGTGTTTGAAGAAAAAAATTATTGTGACAGTGGACTTGAGTTTGTTTGCCAAACTGGTATGTTTTTTTCGAAAGTGTACATGCGCGCCTTTTTTTTTTCTTACACGCTCTTTTATTGACAGGTGTCAGATCATGAAAATTGCTAGTAAAAAAAAGTTTGAAAGTTTGTTTGGAACCTCTTCAATCACTTTTATCGAGACACAAATAAAGATGTTTCCACTTAAGCCTCTTTAATTAGGATTGCCTCTGTTTTCACTACCATCTACTTGATCAAAATTTGTTCATTATGGAGGATCTTGCCATAGTTCCAGCCCTTAATCATTCGGGGTTAATTTTTTGAAAAAATCAAAAAGCTATTCACCAGTCTAGGTTAGTCCATATCAGGAAAAGACTGCGTCCTCTGTCTTGAGTACAGTTTTTCCAACATGGACCTGTCAGCAAGTGAATAACATATGCATTTTTCTGTACAATCTTCCTCAAGACTTGAAACTTAGCACAAGTAAACTACATTGATTTTTGAATGTATATTTGTTTGTAGTACAAAAAAATGTGCAATTAAAGCTCTAGGACTATCTTTTATCAGCAAAGTGATTTTTTTTTAAAGTGTCCTATCCTTTATATGTGGTCTGATTTAGCAACATTCATACCATTTAGACCCTTTGTATGCTTCATAAGTTTTTGTTTCTAGCTTTCAGAGTGATATATTTCTAAGCAATTTTTGTGATAAATATTATTTTAGGTCTCTTCTTCATTCTGCCTTGTATGGACTCCTACCAGAAAGTTGACCTTAGGACAGTGTCCTTTGATGTTCCTCCACAAGAGGTAATCACGATTGTGATAGAGATAGAATAAGAATCAAGTGCTTGTGTAGTCCTTCCTAATCGTAATTTTGTTTTTTCTACAAAGGACAAATCAGAGTTGATGTTTATTGTTGCCATGGGGTTTTGTAAATTCTAGTTGCAGCATTTACAAGAGGGACAGTTTTGGAAAAGTTCATTGAAACATTTTTGTGAAATTTAGTGTAAAGATGTAGGTGCTGATAGTGATATAACCTTTGGCTCTGAAACCTCAAGTGCTTGAGAGAATTAATTGAGGTGCAAATGATTTCATTTTGCTCTTGTTCCATGAACATTGTTTATTTGGTGTGAAATAAACTCTCAACTTCAGCCTACAAGGTGATAAACTGAAATGCTGGTTATGGTCTCATTTGTAAATGTATTTCCTTGGATTTTTCTGTAGGACATCTGAGGCACTTAGTGTATTTTTAGCCACTTCCAATCTGATTGGCTTGTTGTACTTTTAATTTATTTTAGATTTTGACTAAAGACAGTGTGACTGTTGCTGTGGATGCTGTGGTATACTTTAGAATCCATGACGCAACTATGTCCATCACTAATGTGGAAAATGCCAATCGTTCCACACGTCTGCTGGCTCAGACCACCCTGAGGAACGTGCTGGGAACCAAGAACCTTAGTGAGATATTGGCTGACAGAGAAGTTATCAGTCATGTCATGCAGGTACTGATAAATCTGACTTTTCAGCATTGCTTTCATGTTTTAAGCAGGAACAGGTGGAGGAATCATTGGAAGATCTCTTAATTGTTTTGCTGCCAAACCTAAGTGTTACATGGTTATCTTTTGCATTGTAGTATCCACCTCCCATTAATAGATGTTTTATTACCCCATCTATTGTTAAATACATTTTAAAGGTAAAGATCTCTCCCATATCAGTCAAACATAGATGCTGATATTTCGATATGGGTCGTGTAATTTCTGGAAGTCTTGCCTAATACACATGAAAAGTGGAAACAATGGAAACAAGTAATTTATGACCTACCATTAAATACCGACCAAACTGTCGATAACTTGAGTAACTCTAATGTTGTGTGTAAAGGAAAAATTGAGATGATTAACATATTTTATGTTTTCTTTTCATAAGAGCTCGCTTGATGAAGGAACTGATCCTTGGGGTGTTAAGGTGGAACGCGTAGAAGTGTAAGTCAAAGCTTCATCCAGTTTTTATAGCTACTGCCTCTTATGGGGGTGAAGCCATAATGTTGTCCTGTTGAGTAAGTGAGTGAGTGATTATAAATTAGAATATGAAGGACCTCTCAGCCTGCTGAGTTTTACCTGATATTCCTCGCTCTAGGCTTTTGTTTGTTTGGAAAATCTTCAGTTTTCAATGCCTCTTGACAATTTCTTCCGATCGTTGCAAATCTTACTTGGAATTGACATGTGATCACACTGTTTCCTATTGCTACTTATTGTTTGTTTTGGAGTACTACTTGTGATGTATCAGCCTAAGGTCCAGAAAACAAGACAAGATTTGTTAGACAAGGTCAAGATGGCGTTTCTAGTAATCTGCCAAAAACTCAAACCTTGTGTACAAACCCAAATATGGAAAACTGGTCATGTGACCTTGGTGCAAGTAAAAACCCAAATGGAAAGATTTAACACTACAGAAGATGATTAACATCTTCACAATCAATTCAGGATGGCACATAAAAAAACAAAGCTTCACCTCTCAAGAATGTCTTAAAAGGTGTGTTTGGCACATCATGAAAACTCAAAGTAAAATTTTTTTTATGAAAGCATTTTACTGTTTGAATCTGAAGTAATCCAAAGAATTGTTTCTTTTTATTTTTTTTTAAGTTCTTGCCATGGAACCATAACAGACGATACATTAACATCTCAAAATAATTTCACAGCGGCGTCTGATTAAAAAAGACTTCCTCGCAGAAATTTCTAAATAAGTTAGATCTGCACATAGTAGAAACTTTGATGAAAAAATTAATTTATTCGGAAAGAGAGCATTTTATCATTTCATTCAGTGACTAATGCTCAAAAGAGCCAATAAATTTGTGAAGCAATTAAGGAAATATGTTTTTTAGGGCATGATGCAGTATTTTACAGGTCAGCAGACACCTTAACGAAAACCTAAAATGCTGATAACTTTTACAATTTGTTCCCACTGTAAGTCTAGTCCACAGCATAAAAAGGCAAAACTTAGAAAGAATACTGTAAACTTAGCTTTGAAACTAGGCTCACCTTTTGGATAGTTCTTACGCTCAATTATATATTTTGCCAAAGCTGAACTAAAGTTGCACACAATATGAAATTGTTGTTTTTCGCTGGCGGCTCTGTGGCAACTAAGTTTAGTTTTCAAAAGAGCTTATGCATCAAGGCTAAAAACTGAGACAGTTTTGAATGGCTGAGGCAGTGATCCAAAAACATTGTATTACCAGATCTGTAAAGCAGTGGCTTGAACCATATAAATTGGCATGTCAACAGCATTTTGGTCAGTTCCATTGAGAAGAAAACAAAACATGGGCACTTGTATAAGTAGCACGGCCATCCTATTCTCACTCGTTATTACCGAATGTTGTATCAAGTTGGCCAAAACAGTTCTATGTATAAACCTGGGACACACTGCTGTAACGTGTAGGATTGAAGCCCCCCAAAGTACAAAAACTGACCTCAACAAGAGGAAAAATAAACCAAGGTATGTTTTAAGTACCAAATGTCCATTTTATTCACTTTCCACCTTTGTTATTGTTTTTCTGAGCAGCAATTATTTCACTTTCCCAACAAGCATTTGTTTCCCATCACAGTTACCGTATTTATTTGATTAAGCGCCCAGGGCGCTTATTTCATTTTTGGACTTAAAGGGTGGGCGCTTATTCAAGGTGGGTGCTTATTTGAGGCTGGGCGCTTATTAAATTTTCACCATTTTCAGTAAGTTAAAAGTTTATTTTGTAACAAAACAATAAATAAGAACAAAACATGACAAAATATTAAAGCATATAAATTGTAATTGTTCATTGTTCGGTTTGGTTTATGCCCAGGACTAACAACTCATTGTTCGGTCTTCACAGAAGTCTCTTTAGCTATCATAATTCTCAATCAACTTCAATGTCATCATTGCTCAGCTCAATAAGTGAACTTTCTGGTGCTGCCTCCTTGACCTCCAACAGCGTAATGTCAGCAAAATTGGTCAGTCACACAAGAAGCTGTTAGGGCTTGCTGGATGGATGCCAGGCAATCATGTCTACCCCCTTTAGGGGGGTGGGTGCTTATTTGAGGTTGGGCACTTAAAAATTACTTTTTGGGGTGGGTGCTTATTCAAGGCTGGGCATTTATTAACTTTTTCTATCCTCAGGGTGTGCTCTTATTCGAGGTGGGTGCTTATTCAAGGTTGGGCGCTTAATTGAATAAATAGGGTATGGATAATTAGTAACATGTCTTCGTTTTATGTCACTTTTCCCTCTCTAATTATTTCATTTTATTTCTTTCTTTTGCTTTTTCTTTTCTTTCTTTACTAACCTACTGCCACCTGCAACATAAAATGTACTGAAGAGCTAACAGAATACCTCTGGTTTATTTAGTTCCCTCGTTCACAAAGTAACATTACCATCAAGGTACTAGTAGAAAGCAAATTTCTAATAAACAAAAGCACTGTAAAGTAAAATAGTTATTACAATTTAGATTAATTGATTTATATGAATAAAGCATTGTATGGTCTGTTCTTGTATTGCAACAGTTTGCATGAATCAACTGTCTTGTAAACTTGATTTCTTATACCCAGAGGCTATCTAAGTTATGGAACAAAGAACTCTTGTTGGGTGTTCCTGGAGGTGATGATGGTGGTAGTAAAGAATATGATGATTATGAAAATTAAACTCCCAAATTGGAAATGTCAAGGGGAAATTATCAGAAGTATTTCAAGTCAAACCTGTTTGTAAAAAATGTGTAGGAGAAAATTGATTAGATTAAGTCAGCTGTTTGATGAGGTACATCACTTCATTTTTACGACAAGGAATCAATCATGCATATGAAGAATGATACCACAGAAATACATTTTGGTGATGTCACAGTGGTCAGTGGTCATCAACTTTAGGCTGCCAAGTGCTTTGATTTGTTAGTCAAGTAAGTTCAATGAAACTATCGCTTTTTTGCTTGGTTTTAAGTTGGAAAATATCCATAATACTTCTCATTTTTTTGTTAGATTTGATTCTTTGAATGGGTTTTTAATATATGCATTAATTGCAGAAACTAGTTGAGAATTGCTTATTGACTACAAGTAGCCTGTATACAACTGCTCCCCTCCCTTGTAATAAATTGGGAAAAGGAAATCTGTGTGGTGCTGTTGTTGTTCATGTTTGGGAATATCCCTTCTCTGATTTTTATTTGACTGGATGGGCACAGCTGTATGCAGGCTAATTACAGGCTTTTGGTTACTCCTCATGACTAGTGTTGACTGGGAATCGACAAACAGGTTTGTCTTGAGATACTTCTGATAATTTTCCCCCGACATTTCCAATTTGGGAGATGAATCATCATACTTAATGTATTCTTTGTTACCACCATCATCACCTTCATGAAAAACCAGCAACAGTTCTTTGTTCTATAACTCAGACAGTTTCTGGAGATAAGAAATCAAGTTTAGAAGGCAGTTGATTCATGCAAGGCTGTTGCAATACAGGAAAAGACAATACAGTGCTTTATTCACTTAAATCAATTAATTTAAATTATAATAATTATTTTACTTTACGGTACTTTTGTTTATTAAAAATTTGTATTCTACTAGTACCAAGATGGTAATATTACTTTGTGAATCGGGGAACTAAATAAACCAGAAGTATTCTGTTAGCTCAGTACATTTTTTTGTTGCAGGTGGCAGTAGGTTAGTAAAGAAAGAAAACAAAAAGCAAAAGAAATAAATAAAATGAAATAACAAGAAAGGGAAAATTAGCATAAAAAGAAGACATGCTACAAATTATCCCTAATTGTGACTGATATGGTTCAAGCCACTGCTTTATAGAGCTGGTAATGCAACGTTTTTGGATCACCGCCTCAGCCAATCAAAAACCATCTCAATTTTTAGCCTCAGCGCAGAAGCTCTCTAAAAAACTTAGTTGTCATGGAGCCGCCAATTGAAAAACAACAATTTCATATCGTGTGCAACTTCAGTTCAACTTTGGCAAAATATATAGTTGACCATACGAACTATCCAAAAAGGAGCCGAGTTTCAAAGCTATAAGTTTACAGTATTCTTTCTAAGTTTTGCCTTTTTACACTGTCGACTCGACTCATGGTGAGAACAAATTGTAAAAGGTATCAATTGGCATTTTATGGTTTCGTTGAGGTGTCCGCTGACCAGTAAAATACTGTATCGTGCCCTAAAAAACGTATTTCCGCAGTGTCCAATTAAGGTACCGTGAGTCATATTGGATGGAATGGCAGAGTATCCTACAATGCAGAATGCCTTGTTGTATGAAACAAAACTCTCCCAAAAAATGGAATTGCAAAGAAGTAAGAAGATAATTTTATAATCAACGAGCAAATTAAAAGAAAAATCCCCTCCCCCCAAAGAAAAAAAGTGCAGGAAATTTTACAGGTCTGTTTCCCTTGACTTATCACTGATGTAACTTGTTGTGACATACAGGAAGGATGTACGTCTTCCTCAGCAGTTGCAGAGAGCCATGGCAGCAGAGGCTGAAGCTTCTCGTGAAGCTCGTGCTAAGGTAATTTGTCTTTAATATCAATTTTTAGCTTTGTGGTTGATCATCAGTGTTAAAGTTTATTACTTATACATATATGTAGGTTCTGCCTTTTTCTGAAGTAACAAAGGAAGCTGGCTCTTGTTTGAGTCATGCTAGATTTATCAACTTGGTAGTAATTTGAACCTTTAGAATAATAAGCCATATAATTTGGATAATAGAATTGATTTATCTGTATAGTCAGTTTGTTGGTGTGTATTTATGAGGTTATATTTAGCCTAAAACCACTTTGAATATCTGAAATTTATTAAAAAAAGACACGGGTACTTTCACAGATAAAGCTACAACCTTAGAAAAACATCATGTGATGAGGTGTTCTTTCCACTTAAGGTCATTGCTGCTGAGGGTGAACAGAATGCATCTCGGGCACTGAAGGAAGCTGCTGACATCATTTCAGAGTCTCCTTCTGCTCTTCAGCTGCGATACCTACAGACGTTGACAACCATCTCAGCTGAGAAGAATTCCACAATCCTATTCCCTCTCCCTGTTGATTTCATGAGCAGATTCCTACCAGATAAGAAAGGTTAATGAAAGAGAAAGACCAAAGAATGAGGAAAAAATTTTCTCATTGTAAGATAGTTGATTGTTCAAAATAGTTATCTGCACTTTTCATTATAAAGGAATATTAAGATTCAGAGCTTGAGTTCAACAAGAACCAACTAATTGTATAGAAGTAACAATTTCGGATTTAATTTTTAGTTCCATTTCATGTATGTTGAAGTAACAATTTATCAGTACAGCATAATGCAGTTCTCAAAAAAAAAAAAAAAGTTCACGACTGGTACATAGACTTTTATAGCAAGCCAGCAGCTTCTCTTGCTTACATGCAAACTGGGAAAAGTCTGTGACAACCCAATCAAAGGGCAAGATGGATTTAGGATTTTTTCTTGGTGAAACAGGAATAGCATGAAAGATGCTTTCAGAGATTTTCACTACTCTTTTCCTTCCAAATTTTTGCACGTTTGGTTTCTCTGAGCTCCATTCAAATCCAGTGTAGTAATCATGATGAAAAGTGCATATCCTTTCCAAAAATAAAGTGACCATGATAGCCATTCTAGCTTGAAAAAATAGTGGCTGAGGTAGAAGCCTTTCCAAACAGCTGAGTAAAGTAGGAGTAAGTCTTGAGGGCTGAATAGATATTTTAGTTTCTGTGAGTAATATTTCTGCATTAGACTTAAACTTATTTACCCAGGGTTAACCATTTATGTTAATTAAATGTATTTCTCAAGTTTTGTTTAGAAATGTATGTCAATTTTGTGAAAATTTAATATGGTTAGAGCATCTTACTGACAGGTGCAAGAAACAGTGCTATGGCTAGGCGCATGCAAAATATATCTAATCAATTTTGATAGGCTGACAGTTCCTATCAATTCTAGTAAATAGATCATATATTATGAAATGTGATACATTGGAGAACTCTGATCAGAGCACTCGCAAAGTTTGTACTTGTTTGTTTTCCAGTAGAAAAATGTGCTGTATTTTCTTTTTTTTTTTTAAGTGATAACTGCCATGTGGTGATGTTAGTTTTGAGGCTATTTTTGTGCTTACTGACATATAGTGGCAATATCATGACCTTGTCAGGCTGGAATTCTGTTGTTAAAATTCAAGTCTCTATTGTAACAGACATTTCAAGTGCTTGAAAAGACATTCCACCAATATATCACATGTTTTAAGTGTTGAGCTGTATTTTTTTTTTTTTTTGGGAGGGGGGTGGGGAGTGGGTTCATGGACCTACTTATGCCTCAACTTACGTTTTAATGATAGTTAGTTACATATTAACGTATTAAACATATGAAGAGTCATGCAGTGTGTGTTGGTTATTTCTAGTTCATTTTCATCATAAAGTTCAATACTGTTCATTGTTTGTGTTATCCTTCAATGTAAAGACAATTAATAGAGCTTAGAATTTACCTATATAAAGAGGTATTGTGGCAGCTAGCAGTCTTGAAACATATACGTGGTGAATACAAAGTGTGTTATTTCTCCTTTGTGGTCTAAAGAAATCAGTCGAAAGATGCCAAAGTTCAATGAATGTTTTATCCAGACCTTTATTCCACACATGTACAACTGAGTCTTAACACATTCATAGCTGTTCATAGCTTAAATTATTTGCATCATTCCTCTTTCAAGAATCAGGTTATTTAGAGTAAAAAAAGGAATTTCATAGTCTGTGGAAGAATATTTACTTCTTCTGTTTAAATTGTTGCAAAACAAGAAACTGAAGAAGGGAAAAAACCAACTTGTGGACCGGAAAAATCTTTTAAACCAAATTATGCAAACTGTTGGAAGTATGACAAGG